TAGTTTGGGTTCCCCACACACACACAGAGACGGAGACAGACAAACGCACACTGACACAGACGAACGCACACGCACAGCGAGAGAGAGAGAGAGAGAGAGAGAGAGAGATCCCGGTCTGTGCCGGTTGCCAACATTCCCACTGTGTTGAATCTTGTCGATTTCGTCGTCTTGATGTCGTCGGGAAATTATGAGTATGATTACTGGGCCAGGGAAACCATTTTCAATCTCTTGCAGAAAGACGATTTCAGTAGTTGCCATGCTTCTACAAGCTTGTCTTTATTCGACCTCAACGCTCATACATACATATATATATATTATATATATATATATGGTATGTATATATATATATATGTACATATATATATATGTATGTGTATATGTGTCTGTAACAAATATACATATATTCTTCTTCGCACAGGCTTGGGTCGGATACGACGCGCCTCTAGCAAATGAATTCGGGTGAGACTGACAAAAGCGGAAGCAGGGCCCGGCTCAAGGAGAGGCGAGGCCTTCCGCTGTACTGACTAGACCCCCGACCTTAAGCCAAGAAATCGCCGGCTCGAGGCAACGGAGTGCTGTCACAGGTGCCCCAATCCGCACTGGGCTGGTTGCGGAGGTTTGGGTGCAGGCAGCGAGCACCTCAACTGAAGCTTCCAACCAAGCCACATGCCTGTCAGCAGCTGCAAGCGGAACGCTGCAGTCAAACGGGTAGACGAAGCAAGGCAGTGGGGGAGCTTCAATGGCGAAGGAAGCGAGAACCCCACTTGAGGCTAGAGGAAGGCCAAATCCAGAAGGAGGGAGGAGAGGTGCAAGAAAGTCCAAGTGCGTGGGCTGCGTCTTGGGTTGCTGGAAGGAGTCGCAGCAAACTTCAGGATCCAGCAAGAGCAGCATATTGCTGGCTGCTTCCCCCGCAAAAGGCTGTGCTGAGGGATGTGCTCTCCATACTTCGACAGTACGTCTCAGGTGCTCAATCGGGGCGATGAAGTCCTGGATGACTGCCCACACCTGCGTATCATCCGACTCGTCAAGGTCAAGCAGAGCAGCCAGGAGGGCAGGATGACATGTGTCCTGAGATGCATCCCGCGCAGGTCGAGTAGCAGCGCCAGGTAGCTGCACGGGCGGAGCCGACGGGTGAAGAGGATGTTTGGGCAAAGAACCAGCAAGGTGGAAGGTACCCCAGTTCACCTGACACGCTGGAGTAACAAAAACATGCCTCTTCATGCGGCCGGAGTTGGCGAAGAGTTTGCCGCATCCGCTGCACCATGACTGGTCGATACCCTTCGTGACCTCAGTGGCTCGGGTCCTGTAGCCATGCAGCCTGCTGGCATGACAGGCCCAGGAGACCCTGTCAATGAAAGCTTTGCGACACGGCAGGCAAGCCTCGGCAAAGCGAACGCCATGCTCGGGCTCCGGGCGTTCATTCGAACAGAAGGGGATCAGACAGCGTCTGTAGGACTGTAAAGCGGCGAAACCGCGCAGGCGAAGGGCCTCGAGTGCGGCCGCTCGTTTAATCCACCCTCGGAAACGACCTGGTGCCTCGCACATAATCTGAGACCACTCCTCCCAGCACACAAGAGAGTCTTGCAAGGGCACGGTGGCCGAAACTCGCCGAAATAGCCATTGCATGGCGTCACGCAACTCCTTGAGGTACGAGGTGTCCTGTCTGAGGAGGGCCCAGAGAGTGTCCGGTGCAGCTTGCGAAAGCTGACGCAGGTAGCGCAGCCTTTCCACACGAAGCAGGGTGTGTGGATCGGCCAGACCTAGCAGAGCGCAGGCCATAGCACCGGAAATGTGCTGGTCCTCGCCTTTAGGTACACACAGGGTTTGCCTATACAGGGACATAACCGTACGCTGGAAAAGGAGAGATTCGCCACGGTTGAGGCTGGGCCACGCGCCTGCCCCGAAAAGGAGCCGGGGCATAACCATAGTGGACAAAAGGGTGCCCCTTCTCGCAACAGCAATGCGCCGACAACGATATGCCCGGAGTTTGCCTTGTCTGAAAGCGGCCCACGCAGAAGCGCACCTGGCACGGAGTTCAAGAAGGAACGACGACCCCACCAGCACACCAAGATGCTTGTAGCTGGTAACAAGAGGTAAAGTGGCGGCCATTTCAGTTTCCCGAAGGACAGGCAGGGTCCCGGGCCCTTGGAACAAAGCGCGTTTGGCGGCACGGGAACCGTCTCCCATCAACAGAACGCGTGCTGCAGTCTTAGAGAGGCCGTATGTGAGGCAGTACCCCTGAGAGGCAAATGCCTCATCAAGGATGGATGCTTCCAGGGACACCTGGTGTGCAGCGCGCTGAGATGTGGAAAGCAAGAAGCATTCAGCCATGTCATCAGCCCAAATGACATCGCTGAGTGACGACGTGGTAGTGGGGGTTTGCGTCGGAGACAAGTCACGTTTGCTATCCCATGGCACTTGGGGGACCTGGCCGGCATCTGGTGACTGGGCTCGCAAGGCATCGCGGGTCGCCACGATCTGCGCGACCCCAGAGCTATACATGAGGTCAGCTAGAGACGACCCTGGACGCGAACCACGCCGAGTTACCACAGGTACGTGGTCGCCTCGAAGCGAAAACCAAGACCCACGATGAAATTCTGCGGCTAGCGATTCTAACCACGCCATAGCCCCACTTGCCTCGAAGGCACTGGGGCCTCGCAGAGCGCTAGCCAGGCCTTCATGCTGCTCAGTGCCATCAGGATGCACATGCGTTGAGACCGGTTGCCTCTGGTCGTCGATGCGCCGAGCTGTCAAATCCCGAATGGAATTATAATAGGCTGACGCAACGTCCGCGAAAAGGACACAGGCAGGCTTCTGGCAGGCTGCTGTCCAGCGGCAGAACAGACGAATCACATGACTTCCAAAGACTGCTGAGGCCCCTCTTCGACCACCTAAAAGAAGTGGGGGTGCATGATGAAGCACATGCTCGTATATGCGAGGTCGGTATGCTCGGTGGATGACTTTAGTCAAGGTGGGGAGCAACATTATCGCACGATACGATGAGCATGTGTTTTTGGCCCCTCGTTGTTTGTAGAGCCATGTCAGGAGAGCGCTCTTCAGCCCAGCAGCTTCTTCACCTAGGAGCCCAAGTTTGAAGACCAGAGGCATCACTAGCGGAGCAAGGAAGGCCGGCGCAGTCTTAAACAGTTCTCCCGGGGCACCATCGGGCCCGCAGGCTTTGTGGCTTTTGATGGAGGCCATTGCTCGACAGACATCGCTGGGGCCCGGTAAGGATAGGGCATCTGGAGGCGTAGGCCATGCAAGATGATGTCTCTTGCCAGCTTCGGCAAAAACATCCGCTGGGGACATCTCGACTCCGGATTCCATATCTCCAAAGTAGCTGCGCCACCGTTGAAGGGCGGCTTCGGGCGTGGGGCAGGGATGCCCGTCCTGGTCAAGAATTTCAGGCAGCACATCTGGGGCAAAGGGTTTCTTTTGCTTGAGTCCCAGAAGCCTGTTCAGAGCTTGATGGGAGCCAGGCTTGTTGGACTGTACCTCATCAGCAAGCTCCGAAAGGTACCGCGCACGGTCTTGTCTGCATGCCTTGCGGAGGCGCTGGGACAGGTCTCGCAGTTGCCTGGATTGCGCCTGGCCCCACGACGCAGCATTGGAGGCCCAGGGCGAAGAGAGTGCATCATGCAGTATCACTGCATTCCTTTCCGCCCAAGCCCTGAAAGCAGCGGCAAGCAGGTGTGTGCCGCATTGTCGCCTGAGTCGTGCACATCGCTTCCTCAATGCAGCAACCTGACCATGAAGCTCCCAGGTGTCAGCAGTGATGTAAGCCTGCCGCGGGTGACCCCTGGCAACAGCAAAGGTCCCAACGAGCTCCTGTTGAAGGTACCCAACTAGGAGAGCAGCATGCGCATCAGCTGAGACATTCCACGGGATCTTAGGTGCCGCGGAGAGGATGGCTTCAAGCTTGGGTTGATTGGCGGGGTCGGTGAGGGCCTTGGCGTCAATGCGTGCCGGCTTGGGCCGACTACCACCCTTATTGACCTTCAACCAAGCTCTAACCTGAATGGCACTGGCGAGGTGGTCAATGTAGGGCTGCCCCACATGGATACTAGGGTCAACCCATGAGCTGACTTGGGCGTCTCGCCAGCAGTCGGGGAGGCAAATCAGGTCAGGACGTGTAAGTGCCTGGTTGCGCTTCTGGATGTAAGTCCAGCACTGTCCGGTGTGACATTGGTCCCAAGTGGCCGGGATCCATGCGTGGCAGGCATCCACAAGCTCATGGAGAAATGCGCCTGCCTCGTCCTGCTCTTCGGGTCCGCAATCCCCTATACGGCTGGAGCTAACTGATCCCACCGAAGCGTTAAAGTCTCCGCCGAGGATGACCGGTGAACGAGCGGCAGCTTCCTTAATCATGACCAAAGTCCGGCTCCACCAAGAGTGGAGCTGACTGGCTTCAGTGCCACGGTGAGGCGCATGCAAGGAGGCAAAGCAGAGGCGGAGGGGTCCAGAGCTAAAGTTCAGAATCAGCCGCCGTGGGTCACGATGGATAACGTTGAAAGCTTCTTTGCTGAAGGCAGCTTTGGCGTCTCCTTGAGATGAGGCAGGTAAGATGGCATGGCCTTCGAGGAACCAGAGCTCAACACCAAGGCATCCGGACTCGTGTCCAGATGAAAACCGCAGGAAATCTGCTGTGCGCAGGAAGCCTGTTTCAGTACGCGCTTCCTGGACAGCAAGTGCATGAACGCCGGCCTCAGAAAGGCAACGTGCCAACATTGCCGGCCTGCCTGCCGCAAAAGCAAGGCCTCCGGGCTGTTGATCAGCAAAAGCTTTGCCGCACAGTGACAACACGTTGTAGGTGGCAAAACATAGGTGGAGTTTGCCAAAACGCTCACCTGTCGCACCTTCTGTAGGAAGGGTAGGGCGGAATGGAGCCATCACTTGCTCGGGCGTAAGTCCGCATTGTGTGCGCGGCGGGTGTGCGGTGCGCACGCAGTGAAGGCGCGCTGAATGCTCAGAAAGCACTGCGCTGGCGCAAGGTGCGCAGGTCTGCGCAGGGGCGCTCTGGACTGGGGGTAGAGTCCTGTCTCCGAAGAGGCTGCGCATCGCGATTCCACACCACTCAACCCGGTGGGCCTGGCATACCCACCAGTCAAAAGAGTCTCCAGTCTCGTCGGTCCAAACAAGACTGCCAATGGCGTTTCCTTTTGACGCCAGTTTCGCAGCCGCGTCGGCTGCTTCGTTGCCAAAGAGCCCCTTGTGGCCGGGAACATAACGAATTGAGAGAGGTGCTCCTAAGAAGGCTTCGGCGCATGATGCAGTGCGCCTCAAAACAAGGGCCGCATCATTGGCGAAGGATGCTGCTTTGCCGGATGCGACCTGAATGGCAGCCTGGCAATCCGAGAGGTACTGGACCTGCCGGCAAAAGAAAGCTGTGCTACCAACCCATACCGCCGCAGTCATGGCGATGCACTCTGCAACAAAAGCAGATGCTGGTATTTCCGACCGAACATACCATCCGGGCCCAGACCCCGAGACAATGCTGATACTGCGTTTCTCGAGATCAAGAAAAACACAGGACCAGCCGATCAGCGCATTGCTGCTGCTTGTTGCCGGGGTAAAAGACCCATCAACATAGCAGAGTAAGGGTGAGTCTGAGATGGCTGCTGGGAAAGTGCTGCACAGTGACTTCGCAGTATCTGGAGGCAAGCGCTTCAGAAGGTCTCTGAAGTCGCCGAAGCACACCTGAGGCTGTAGAAAAAGTGCCGCCTGGGAGGCCGTGAAACCTAGATCAGCACCTCCAAGCCGCAAGCTGGTGTGTCTCCAGGATGGGTCGAAAGAGGCAGCATGCGTCGGCCACGGCGCAGGGTGCACAGGGGGTACAGCGCTGCAGTCGGCAGGCAATGCCTCCACAAGAGACAGCTTCGCCGAAGTTGGGGGATAACCATGATCACCGTAGTGATGCTCGAGGACTGCGTCCAGAAGAGTGGCAGCGAGGTACATCGGATAGTCGTCACTTGCATTCCTGCTGTCCTCAAGCAAGGTGGAGAGATTACCAAGTTGCAGAGACTCACGCTCAAGCTCATATGTAGGCGGTCTTCCGGCAGCAGAACTAACTCCAAACAGAGTAGGATTTGCTTTGGGAGGGCCGCTGGCAGGGGGCACATGTGGGCCCTTCACACGTGCGAATGACAGTGCTCTGGCGGGAGTTGGCAAGGGTCCGCCAAGGGCGTGAGTAGCAGCAGTGGGGGCCTCTTCATGTGCTGGAAGGAAGCTCCCAGGGGAGAGTGCAAACTCGCCCTTGGGTAAAACACAGGCAGCAGACATAACTCCATCGACAACACGAAGTTGGAGTGTTGCGAAAAGGAGGACAACTCGCAGGGCCCGAGACTGCAACGGGATGGCGAGGGCGCAGAGCAGTAAGCTGAAAAGGCCAAACAGGAAGGCCTCCCCTGCGTAGGGTCGCAAGGCAATCTGGTAACTTGCGGGCACGTCGGCAGGAGAAGACGAGCAAGAGCTACCCGTACCTGCATCCTGGTTCGAGGGTGCCTCTGAAGCATGGCGATCAGCTCCAGGATTGCTTCCTCCAGGATACGGGCTCCCGGATTGGTCATCTCCAGGTTGGTCCGGGCCGTCATCTGGTGGGTCAAGGACAGAAGAACGTGGTGGGGACTCAGGCACAAAGGCAGCTGTAAAAACATCACCGTCTTGCACCGGAAGGGCAGAGCCTGGTGTGGCGAGCACATGATTGCCACGCCAGACGATCGGTCGAAACCCCTGCGGGCACCTAGCCCAAACACGGGCGAAAAGTCCTGACACCTCAAGATAACCTCCATGGCCTGTCATCACAGAGATTCCCCTTAGTATGGGTCGCAGATCAACAAAGCAGAAGGGGTCTCTTGCCGCCGTGTAATGATGGCCGTGGAGCGTTCTGGCGGCGTAAAGAACACTGCATGTCACCCAACCTCTGTTAGAGAAATCACTAATTCGAAGCTGGGGTGGTCGCAGGATAAGTTCGTCAGCTGGGATTCGCATACGGAGGGCGAGATCCTGACGGACATACCGCCGCCTGGCACTTGACACGTGCAAGAGGAAAGGCCTATCCTCATTGACGACCCACGTGTCATCCAGATTCCAACCGGAATAGGCTCTAATGAAAGTCGGGTCCGCATGCCAGCCATGCGCTGATCGAAGCATGTCCGGGAAGGAGGCCACAATTGAATGTCCTCGACCGACAAAAGTGAATTGAATCAGGTCTCCGTGCCTGACGTCAACTGCAGTGTCAGCTGGAATTGGCCACGGCATCGTTCCAACGAAGACTTCAAAGCGGGGGTGATCTGGGAGCTCGGCTGCCTGAAAGAGGGCGGCCCGTGTAGCACGGCGTCCGATATTGAGGGCGAAGATGCGCCCGTCAATGGTTGTGAGGTCAAAAGCTGCAATCACCCCGTCAGGAGCCCACTGTGGCAGTGCAAGCAGGACAGCCTGAGCGCCCAAAGGTTGTGGCTCTACTGCACACAAGATGGGGAAACGATCTCGATCATGACGAGCTCGAGCTTGCGACACATAAAGCAACGCCACAGCAGCTTGAGTGTCAAGGGGGATCCTTGCCTCCACCAATTCAGTGGCGTAGTCCTGACTGAGAATCAAAAACACCCCTGGCAGCGTGGGGCGAGTGTCGGCGCCGCTATCCGGATGCGGGTGGTCGTCATCTCCTCCATCCTGGCCACGCGGTGGGTCATCCCCTCCGCCCGGATGAGATGAGCCATCTGCGTTGGCAGCAGGGTGCTCTGTGCTGAGTGGCGCAGAAGTGTTGCCCTGGGTCGCGGTATCATTGGCCTCGGGGTCGCCATCAGGGGCGTCAGAAGGTTCAGGCTCAGGCACGTAGTCGACGACAACGACAGAGCCAGAAGTGAAAGTAGGGTGGCCATCAGGCTCATGCTCATTACTGAAACGGGGTACCCAGCCTCTAGGGGCGTCAGCCTGAAAGATGCGAAGGAGGCTTGGCACATCAGGCACAGGATCCCTCAGGTGCATGAAAGCGAAGCCCTCCTGGATCGGCCTCTGATCCAAAAAGAAGCCTGAAATGGCACCCGCGTTACCAGAGCGTGGCTTCTCGCAGACCGCGATAAGGGCTTGGCACTTCACTCCCTCCAAGGCGATGTTAGGCGGTGCCGGGGAGGCTGCTAGGGTGTGAATCAGCCTATCATCAATGCCAAATCTGCGTGCCAATTTCGCACCGAAGCTTATGGAACTCCGGTGGTCCTCGAGACATAGCACATGCCTGCCTTCGTGTACAACACAAGAGGCTTGGTCAAGGTCGAGCTGAGGAAAAGGCAAGGCATGGCTCCATGCATCAGGCAGCATCAGGGTTCGGGCGAAAGGCAACCCGAAAGCAATATGCTGGTCAGCAAAGGTGATGGCAATCTGCATGCCTGGGAACAGGTGAATCTGTACTCCCTCGTTGAGGGGCTGGTCGTCGTCGCCAGCATAGACGTCATAAGCTGTCTGAGGTGGCAGGTCTGCCATGGCAATCAGAGTGCTATAATCCGCATACTCGAGTGCATAGCAAGCGAAAATGCGGCCGTCAATTGCTGATGTGTTAACCAGAACAGTCAGCGCTAAAGGTGCCCATCTCGGTGTCGCAAGCAGGACAGCGTGTCCAACCACAGACTGTGGAGATGCAGGGATCAAGAATGGGAAGCGCAAGTGGCAGGGAGTGGGGCGGGAGGCCTGAACAGCTTGAATGACTTCTTCTGGTGTACAGGGCAAATCTAACTCCACTTCCCCAGTCTCCGGAGGGTAATCTGGGGTCAACACAGCAAAGGAAATGCGGGTGAGTTGGGCTCCAGCTTCCTGCGCGGGTGCCTCCGTCTCCGGGTCAAGGAAGTTGGCAAGGTTGGCAGGGATGAGTGGCCATGCCAGCCCAAGGTTCCTGGTCGCAGTTCGCAATGCTGACAAGGCTGACTGCACTGTAGGGCCTGCGCAACAGGGCTCACACAGGAGCTTGAGTGCAGCAAAGGGCTGGCTAGCCACAAAAGCTTGCCACAGCCCAAACGACAGGAGTCCAATGCCATAAAGATCTGATGGTTCATAAGGAATGCGGCCTCCAATGTCTGGGGGGGCAGATGCTGCTACAGGCGCGGCCGATAGCGCAAGTAAGAGGAGGCTGTGCGGGCACAGGACATGGGCGACGTTCAACAGAACGAAGCTGGCATTCCTATGGCTGTGCTCAGGGCGTTGTCCCAAAGACTCTGGTGTGGGAGGCCCCGCTGACCGGGCACTTGAGCTGCCAGCCGAACTCATGTCTATATCGGTCTCCTGTGTCCTTGGGGAGGAGCCGTCGGAGCCTGTCCCACCAGATTGTGCCTCACGATGACGGGTCTCTTCAAGTACCCCAGGTGGGATAGGAACGCATGCCACGGTGATCCGGGAGCCTTCAACAACACGTAACACAACCCCTGGCCTTGATGGTATGAGTGGTGCTCCCTCTGCCGTGAGCTGAAAACCCTCGGGGCAAGGATAGTCGAGGTCTTCAGCGAAGCGCTGCAAGGAGAAGATGCCCCTGTATGCTAGCCTCCATGTGACACCTAGCTGCAGGGGCCGCAAGTCAACAATGATGACGCTGGCTCTGGGCTCGGCATCAGTGGAGTGGGGTAAACACTGAGTGGCAACCAGAACTGCTGATGCAGCAACTCCTCTGATGCAAAGGCCTCGTAGCTGAGGGTACGGCGGGACAGCTACAAGCCGCTCTCTGTCGTATCCAAGACTCTCGGCGAGTACATCCCGGGGGATGCGACCTGCCCCGGCGGGGAGCGGGTGATAGCAAGGCCCCTCGTCTGTTAACAGCCACAATCCTGGATCCGAGGCAAAAGGGATCTCAGCACGAGTGTTCCAGTCCTCTGGGCGTCTTAGCATCTCGGCTAGTGGCGCAAAACGGGGAGGCAGGATTCCCCGAGGAGCAATGGACACCAAGTCCCCGAAATCTAGGCGTGCCGGCTGGCGGTCTTGCAAGGGGCCTCGAGAGGAGGGTACCCAAACGTCCGCGTCAAGACGATGTGCAAAACCTGCTATGGCGAGAAGCTCGGCTCGGTTGGCTTCAGCATCAGCATGCCCAGCGAAAACAAACCCGCCGACGGCCCTGCAGTCAAAAACAACGTCACAGAAAGGGCCGGGGATACCCGTGATTCCAAGCAGCACGGCGAAACTGGCGCAGGGCTGGGGCCTTACATCAAGCAGTCTCGGAAAGTATTGCCGTACATCCGGTAAACGCATGGCTTGCACTTCGCGCAGAACCTGAAATTGGGCCACAGGCAGCCAGAAGTTGAGAGGGATCACCTCTGGACGGTAGTCTTCGCAAAGCACTACAAAGAGACCTCGGAGCCTGGGGACGGGCACAGGGTTTTCGAGAAACTCAGGTGCTTCCACGAACAGGTCCGGCGGCTGCTCGCGCGCTGGTGAGTGGTCGCCCAGGTCACGCATATCTGGCAATCGAGGAAGGCCTTCGCCACCGCCAAGATTGCGAAGCGAAGTGTGCAGCGGGGGTGTGTCGCCAATCTTAGCGACAAGGCGGGGTGGCGCCTCACGCTTCAGCGCGAGAGGGCAAGTGAAAGCAAGGTTGGCTGCAGTCAGCTTGCACCCAAAATGCAGAGTCAAGTGGATTGCGCCAGAGCCGTCAAAGACGCACACCTCAAAGGGCAGGGGCATTGTTGACGCCAATATGCCGCATGAATCCTGGCTCGGCTTCCGGTTGGACTCATTGGTGTCGGCGGGTGCGGGCAAGTGGCTTTGGTATGAGCTGTCTCCACTAGCTTTCGAAAGGGAAACATCCCGGCGACGTGAACGAGACCTGGTAGACTCATCAGACCCATATCCATCGTCGGAAGGGTCGAAAGGGTCGTCAGATCCATCGGGTTCGGATTCGCCTGCTTCAGGCGCGCCTTGCTCAACAGGAAGGAAGGCTAGTGTCAAAACCTCGCCACTATGGAAATCAAACCCATTGCCCCTTAGCTGTCCCCCCATGACAGCCAACCTATGGCCTGGTGGAGTAGGACACTTCACGTACCTTTGCAGAAATTCGCGCGACACATGGTAGTGATCCAGCACGCAGAAGTTCACATCTTGTCCAACCGGGCGGCTGTCTACAAAAAGAACTGCTGGAAGGGGGCGGTTTTGCTGGTCACGCTCAGTGCTGCGCCTTAGGACTGCAATGATTCCCCGCACTGGGGTCCCGTGGTAGACGTAGGAGGTTAAATCGAAAGCGGACACCAGCCTTGATTCCGACATCTCCACTCCCACAAAGTGCGTGACACGCAGGCAGTTTTGCCAGTCACACTGAACTAGGTCGCTGAACAAGTACTTGCCAGACTCATGTAAAATGAGTACACACAGAGCTCGGGCAGTCGCAGGGACTGGATCCATGCTCAGCCACGGCGTTGGCTGTTGCAGGGAGCGCATTAGAGAGGGCCCCCAAAGTGGCAAATGCCGTGTGGGCGCGAGGCACAAGGTGTCACCTTCCTCAAGATGCACTTCTTGTCCTGGTTGGATAGACTGCAGACTACCGGCAACAAAAACCTCGAAGGGCGAGATTACAGAAGGTCCCACAATTCTGCAAATTGCGTCAAGGCTTGTGTGGTTAGGCAGTACCTCTGCAAACACCTTACCTGTCATCGACCGGGCATCAAAGAGGACCGTTGCCAAACCTGCATGCTTGAACCAATGGGGGGCAACAAGCAAAGTTGCAGCATCGTCACCCAGTTGTGGCATTGCTGGGATGAGCTTGTTCCAACAATCATCAAGCGGCGATGGCGCGGCCTCGTAGACACGGTCAACGAACTGTTCAAGAGTGGCTGGAAGAGTCAAAAAGATCTCTGATGTGATCAGCCTGTGGCCAGGGACACACAACGTCACACGGGCCGGGACATTAATACCCGGGGATAGAAGGCAGAGGCCCGGTTGGGCTTGCAAGCAGCTCGAAGAGCCTCGTGTGGCGATGTCAGCCTCGACTGCTGCACGGTAGTCATTGGCAGATATGTCCTGGGAGGACCCCGCTGGGGTGTAGTCATGCGCCGGCAAGTCGTCGGGGCAGAGTGCATTGCGCAATGGAACAGAATGGCTGGCTGCGCGTTCACTTGGGGGACTACTAGGGGCCGGGTCAGAACCTGAGTGCGCGGGAACAGGGGTTGCCGCAGCATGGGCTTCCGTGAGTGCTGAGGCGACGTCCTGAGGCACACCCCAGATTGGCACAGGCAGGGAGCCTAAAAGGACAAGGACCCTAAACCAAAAAGGGGGAGTCCGACGGCCCAGGGTAGCACGACGGGCCCTTGACTTTGCAATACCTGCACATTCTGGTCGGCACGCGTAACCCCATGGCAGAACCAGGGCTATGGGCACCTTGGCACAGGGCAGATATAACAGGCTTTTCAGGGGTGAACGGCCCCCGGGCGTGGCGTTCAAGAGCAAGCGCCAAAGCACGAGCAAGTGTATTGCTGCAATTGTAACCAGAAAAGCGGCAGCAATACTGCCGCCCTGCACAACACAGGTTACAACGAGGTCCCACATGAGGGAGGAGACGTCATTTGCAGGAGGAGACCCCAGAGCCACCGATGTCTCTCTTTGGCCCCTGCAGAAATGGTAAGATGTCGCAGAAAGGAGGAGGCAGACATGGCTGAGCTCGCTGCGACCATCACAGGGTGAGCGTGAAGTAAGCCAATCCCCGATCTGCACTGGTGCCTGGGCACAGGTAAGGCTAAAACCAAAAGGAGGGAGGAGAAAGGGGGGCCTAGGAACCCCAAAAAGGGCAACAGGGCCCGGTACTTCCCTCTTTAAAAAAGGGGAAGTGGTGGAGCCAACGGGGCTCAACACTGAATGCTGGGGGAAGGGGAGCAGGCGAGGAGGAAGTCCCAGAGCCACCGATACCTCTCTTAGGCCCCTGGCCAGAACCACCCCTATCGACCCCGAAAAGTCCCCTGGCAGGCACGGTACCCGGCGATGTGAAGGAGATGCCTGAAGTGGTGGGCCATTGCAGCACAGGGTACTGTGCGAAAATGGTAGGACCTTGGGTGGTGCCGGGCACTCTGCAGCAACCACCAAATACTGCAGAGCCTGGGCCCCAGAAGACAAAAGCCAGAAGACAGAGAGGGGAGAAACCAGGCACGGAGGTAGTGCCATAGATAGTACCGCGTGGGAGGACAGAAATCCAGAAAGTCCAAGAAGTCCACTCTGAAGAGCCGCACCTGCCTCGAGAAAGCAGATTCGAGGCCTCGGTCGGGGAAATAAAACCTGTGCAGAACGCTGTACAGAGAGCCCCTCAGACTGTACAGCTCGCTCACAACACGAATCCGGCAGCTCCAATGGAAGATAGCTCGGAGATGGTATGGGGGCCAAAGCCCGAATCGAGAAGGGCATTGGCAGAGGCAGTGCCTTGCAGGTGAGTCCAAAAGCCTCGGACGGGAGAAACTGTACAACCCTCTGTACAGAAGAACCTATACACGCTTTCAGTCGCCTGTGAGGCTCAGAGACATCCGACTGATCCTGCAACCGACGGTGAGAACACCAAAAACCGCCATCGCCACCACCTCTCTCGACGTCTGCAGAGCAGACTCCAGAAAGGGGAGGGTCCGGGAGGCCAAAGTGCCTCGCTGTCGGTTGGGGATCAGCCACTAGGCAGGGTCTCCAGCATTGCCATCTGTTGCAGCAGTGTCCAACTCGTCGGAGTCGTCCTCCAAGATCCGGATGCGTCTGCCTGCAGCCAGTGCTGCCTGTGCCTCGGCCAGCGTCGCTGTCCCGGGATTCTCTTCCCCTGCATCCGCTCTTGCACGCCCAAAGGGCTCCAGGGCACGACGTCTTGCCAGACGGTCGTGCAAAGGAGGGCTCGGACCGTAGCCCGTAGGAACCGCTGAGTCGTGCGCTGGCAGTGGTTCCGAGGTAAGGCCGACCGGTCCCGGCGGCTGCCCTGGGTCCACAGGAGCTTGCAAGGGAACTCCCGGTGGCATCAAACCTGGCGGTGCAGATGCCGCTGGAGTCCGTACAGCCTGGTAGGGGTCGATGACAGCCGGAGGCGTAGCAGACATAGCTGGCATGGAGCTCGGCATCGTCGGCGTGCGAGGGGCAACCATGGTGGGCCTTACGGGCGTGATCTCCGAAGCCAAAGCCCTCCGTAACACTGCCATCGAGTCTGTACGTTCTTCCGCAGCCCAGGAGTCGAAGACGGCGTCGGCGGAGGGGACATCCTCCATGGCCACATCCTGAGGAATACCATGCTCCATATTGTACGCCACGGCTCGCAGGGTAGCCCGAGCAGCGTTCTGCAACGCTTCTGCTTCGGATAGCTCCCTTAGAATCCTTTCCTGGTCCTTCAAAGCACGGCCGCGTTCTCTTCGGAAGGATTCCTTCATCTTCATCTCCCAAAGCTTGTACTTCTCGATGCTCTCTGCATGTGCCTGCTTCAGGCGTGCCACACGCTGCTCGGCCTTTCTGGCCCCGTTCAGAGCTGTTTGCACTGAAGGGACCAGCTGCTCGTCCCCATCGGTAATCTCCACAACAGCTCCAGCCTGTGCAGCATTCGAAGTGCGCGGCAAGGTCATGGAGGAGTAGCTGGGTATGTCCAGGGTCACAGCCCGAGCATCCGCCTTCCATGGAGCCTTGGGCCTTGCAGCCGGGGCCGAGGGCGATTTGGCACCACGCCACAGCTTGTAGCCATCGTGGTAGCCATGTCCGCCGTCCCGGGCGTCCCATTGCTGTTGAGGCTGCGGTTGGCGGCGGCCTCGGCCCATTCCAAGCTGGCTCAGCAGCTTGCGCTTATGTTGTGGTGCAGTGGCGTGATGAGCCGCCAGAGCAGAAATCCGGCCTGAAGGGACAAAAAGTCCACGCTTCAGCCGGGCCCGTGTGGCAGATCTACGCGCACGAGCGCGTCTGTGCCAGGCAGGCGAGCTGGGTCCTCGAAGCGGTCCAATGGCGGAGAGCTGAGGAGGCCACAGAGCAATCGCACCGACTCAAAGAGTTCCGGTGCTGGGGCTGAGCTATCCCGCTGCTGGGTGTTCTGAGCCCTATATACATATATATACATATATACATATATTTATTTATTTGTTTATTTACATATAAACATACATTTATATTTACATTACTTGCTAGGGGTTTAGACATATCTCTCTGTCTCTCGGCGAGTGAAACTTTGGCGGGTACAGAGTTATGCGTCCATAGCTCCTTCCACCTATTGCGCTAGCTCCGTTGGCTGGCATCACGCAATAGACCTGCCAGCCCCCTGCATTGTTGTATGAATGAAGAATATTTCCCTTTGCAGTCTTCTATGGATGAAGAATCTTCTCTTCAACCTTGCTAAGCTCAATTGTACCAAAGAAGATCGACGAAATCCTTAGAAACAGGAGTTCCACACACACACACACACAGACAGACACACACACACACACCCACTCTCTTACTTACTTACTTACTTACTTACTTACTTACTTACTTACTTACTTACTTACTTACTTACTTACTTACACTTGACACACGCGCAAAGCTTAGGTAACCAGGCAGTCCCAAAGACAAGAGCACGCAGGCAACTGCACACCGTTGCAAGCAGCCGAGGGACCCAGAGTCTAGACATGGGAGGTCTTATCGACACATATCACAAACCCTGCGTGGGCCTTGACGCCCTCCCGGCTTTCGGACGAGCGGTCTGCAAAGAGCGTGGCCAAAGCAGTTCTTGAGCATGGATTCTCGATTAATGTTCAGGAGGCATGCTTGATGCCCGTCAGGCAAAACCCACTAGCACGAGGCATTCCTGTTACGCCAGCCCCTCTTCTAAAACTTCGAAGAACTCACTTTGATGGGGACGGTTGGGGACAGACGCCTTCGGCTCCAGGGCCCGGCCGCAGGATGAGGCCACCGGTCGCTCCCTCCTGGGAGTCCGGGGACGGCGAGGCACGGCCTGAGGAAACATGGCTTCAGGCTCAGGGTTTCGGGTTTCGACTCACACACTCGCTCAAGGCTGGCACGGCGTTCGCTTGTTTCACACAGACAGGTACGTGGGCTCAACAGTGACATCTGGACACAACTCTTCTGGCAGTCGTGGTGACACTTGGCTTCCTTCTCGACGTGGGGGCGTCGCTTCACTTGCGCGGTCTTCGGGGCACAAGCCTTCTGGAAGTCGTGGCGGGGTTTGACTTGCTCGGCCTTGGCAGCGGCAAGACTGGCTTCCAAGGAAGAACCGCACGAGCGCAGGTCCCAAGAATGGAACATGCGCAACACGGTAGGGACCAGCAAACAGTATGACCAGGAGGGAAGGACCCAGCAGAAGTCCTCCAAGGATGTTGCACCAGAAGATTGTCTGATCCGCAGAGAGTCCGAACAAAGGCAACGTCATCAACATCAAGAGGGCCGGCAGCCAAAGCTGGAGGCTGACTGCTGCAAACTTCTTCCGACCTGCTGGTGAAATCATGAAGCCCAGCAGCCACAAGCCCGCCTGCAATCCCATGCCCACGGCAATAATGTGGATTTCAAGTCTGTCACGCAGGGCAACAAGCGGCACTCACATCCAAGCAAAAAGCCCCACGGAGATGAAAAATCGACTGAAGCGCGAAGCATCACCAAGCTTCCCAACTAAAGCTGCAGTGCGCTGGAGTTCGTTGGTCACAACGTTCATTTGCAGCAAAACCCTCACAGCTTCTTCCACCTCGTGCATCTTACCACTCTGAAGAACCTCATGGTGGATGTTTTCCTTGTCTGAGCTCGATGAGCATCCAGCATCCAAAATTCGACCTGAAAAATCCTTTCGAAGATGCCCGCTGTTTATCTCAGCGTCTCTGAACAGGAGCCAATCTGTCTCTGCAGTGCAGGAGAGAACCAAACCCCAGAAAAACAACATCAATAACCCACATGTCGAACCCAGCGTGCCTTCCTCGTCCAAGAAGAGCAGGCTGGAAAAGATCCAACTGACAGAAATGCACAGCACTGCATTGCACACTTGCACCACGGGAAAGCACACGATCAGCCGCAAGAGTTGGCGGCCCACACAGAGATAGAGGATGCATCCCATCGATCCAAAGATTGCCGCCAAAGTGAGCAGGCCGCGAAGAGGCAGCACACCCTCCATGAGCAATAACCACGCGGCCCCAGTTGATGCGAAGTACAAGCATGCCATCCGCGAAAGGCACCTCCAAAACCCCAAGTTTAGCTTCGCTGTTTTGATGGTCTTCCCCCACCAGTATGCGAGGAAGGCCTCGTAGACACACCAAAGGCGGGTGTGGATGGAGACTTTGCTGTTTGGTAGGACCAGAACCATTGACGACGAGCGTAAGGCCAAAGCAAAGGGTGATTCACTCGGGCGCGCGATGAGGCTTCCAATGTCAAGATTTTGTGGGTTAGACAGGAAGCAGACATAGGCGCCCCTTGCACCCGAAGGCCAGGAACTCTCCACCCGGTCAATAAACTCGTAAATGCCTGGCCCAGCAGTGCGTCACGAAGACATCGCACTCCAAGCCAGCGGAATTCTTCAACAGCCCCCAACTCATTTTTCCAGCAGCCGCAGTCACTGGCTTAATGAAGTGCTCATTGACGGTGTAGACCGAGGGTCCGACATGAAAATCTCGAACATCGAACATGTCTCGCTCGTTTGGCTGAATCACACCCCCAGACACTGCGTGCATTACGAGTCGCCGGAACTGCTGCAGGTCTTGCAGGCTCACGCACCATCTTTCCAGCGCAACTGCCTGGTGCAATGCCCGCCCGTCCCCCTGCAGTTTGGGCACGAGGAGCTCAGCGTCACCGCGTGTCAGTGGCAGATATCTCCTCCTAGCATTCAGGGAGCACGTGGTGAGCATTGTCCCCAGGATTCCGCAGACCAGAAAGAGAATAGCCAAAGTGCGGAACACTTCACCATGCCGCCGATGGCGCTCTGGAAACTCGCAGTCCCGCAACGGGGCATCACCTCCGCAGCATTCGAAGACAAACGCTCCGAAGAAAGTGAACTCGGAATAAGACCGTGCTTGAACCACCAGACCATCTGTGCAGACACAAGGGTCCATCGGCGCGCCCTTCGCATAGCAAGACTCGCCGGTGCTACCGCTCCGGCACGTGTCAGAGCCAGCCCCAAAGCATTAATTCGCATTATCACTGGGCTCTGCCTCCTGCTCTTGTTCACACGGCCAAGTGCTGCTCCAGCCCTCATCTGGCACATCAGGGCAGGTGGTAGAACGGTTGTCAAGCTGTGCCATCACGCTGCAGAGGTAGCGCATTTTCACCTCGCAGGGCGTCGCGAACAGGTACCCCGCGGCCAAGCTCCCAGCGCAGTGGGCGTCGTCGTCTCGAAACTCACCCGGCTCGTCACCTTCGTCGATCCAAGTGACCTGCGTGACGTTCTCGCCGCTGGACCAGCTCCAAGCCGATCCAGAAGATGTACTCAAAATCCGTGTCGGGTATGCCAGGGTGCAGTTTCTTCACTGCCCGGGCCAGGTTCTCTCGGGGCCCAGACATGAGGTGCCCCCCCATCTCCGCACACACCTCCTCCGCGTCGGCCCAGGTCTCGATGTGACTGCCACATGGAGGTGCCGCATAGCACCTGCCTCCTATACGGCCCCAGTTGTCTGGGCAGGCCGAGCACGAAGACCAAGAAGAGCCCCATTGCAACTAACGAGCTTCTTCAAAGCACTTCTACGGGGAAGCTCTCATTAAAGTGACTGCGGACATAAAAAGGACCCTATCTTTCGCTGGGATGTGAGGGTTTAGGGTTTCGACTCTCACACTCGCACCAGGCAGGCAAGGCTCCACACAATTCCGTCACGCGTGGAGAGCTCTGAATGCAAAACGACGAACCAGGAACCCATCTAAAACCATGAACCACCGAAGAGCAACTGACAGAGCTCCCGTGCTACACAGTGGGACATATTACCCCACTCTCCTCAAGCTGGAATTTGAGAACATCTAGTTTTCCATAGAGACATTGCCCCAGGCTTCACAAGTAAGTCAGCGCCAAGGTTCAGACGCTTCGTGATTTGCTTCAACAAACAACAGACATCTATGCAACGATACAGTACAAGCTCGACGCTAACGAACGTGTTAGCCAAAACTAGCTAGACGAAAAGGTGCAGTAGCGCCCTTTTTGGTCGAAGCGCAATCGTGCGCCCGGCCAGGCGC